GGAGAAAGGGGGAAGTATTCTATAATTCTACCATCTGCAGACAACTCACTACTATTTTGTCATGTACCCTTTCTTGGTTTTTTTCCATGCACACACGTATATTAATATGAACTTTCCCAGGTAAATGAGATCTCATAGCCTGTTGGATTTTTCTGCCTCTAATGGCATGCCACGAACATTTTTCTATGTCCCACAATATTTTTGAAATGTATTTTGAGGCTGCAGAGTAGTGTGGTAGTTTGACTTCAGGATTGTATCAGGATGAATTTGACCCAGGATTAATTTGGCTCAGCATTTTCCACAATTGTCTTCCTCTTCTAAACGGGCAACAGTGGTTACTCCTACCTGTTCGTAGCATCGGCTCCTAGGGATCGAGTTCTAGTTCAAAATACAATACACCATCTTCTGGTGATGCCTTTGCAAAAAAAAAACAAACAAACAAACAAACAAAAAAAATACAATACACCAGCGTGGTCGGCACAAATTCAGTGTGAGCCTCATGGTGCTTAAAGTCTCTAGTAGCTGTATAGGTGACAGAATTCTAAGTTTTCTAGTGGGCACATTAAGAAAAGTGAAGACGGTGAAATTAATATTAGTAGTGTATTTTGTTTAGCCTGTTATATTTAAAATACTGTCATTTCGCCTTATAATCAGTATAACAAAATTGAGACCATGCACTGTTTTTTTTTTTTTTTGTGTGTGTGTGTGTGCTAAGTCTAGGAAAGCCAGTGTCCGTTTTCTACTTGGGCACACGGCAGTTTGGACTCCCCGCCTCTCGAGGGCCTAGCCAGCCGGGTGTGGCTACCGTACGGGACTTCTTTTATGCTGAAGCTTTTGATAGAAAGTGACAGGTCACCCCCACTCCCAAAAGGTTGGGCCAGTTGAACTCCCACCGGCCGCACGGGAGGGTACGCCTTTCCCTCCGGTTGAAATGTAAAACCAAAAATAATGAGGTTGCGCTGCCAGGAGCTGAAGCCTGTCTCGGCCCGTTGTCCCCATGGCAACTGTGACCGGGCAGGGCCCTGGAGAAAGGCTCAGAGGTGAGACTTGAGGAAGGGTAGAGGTTCCCTTCCAAGAGCCCTGGAGGGAATGACAGAGGGGCCTTCCCTGGGCCTTGGGAGCGTGGGGTGTGCAGGCAGGTGTCCCCCAGGTGCTCCTGGGACAGACCCCTCGGGGGCCCAAGGCCAGCCCAGGGGGGACCGATGTGGACGGCAGCTCTCCCGAGTTCTGAACCAGCTGGAGGACCCACCAAGGCAGGTCTGGGGTGTTTTGAAAGTTGGTTCATGAGGCTTCAGAAGTCATTCTTTCTCCCAGTTGTGGTGGCAGAGCCCTTGGGATTTGGGGACCTCGAGCTGGGAGGTTGTCTTCCTAATCCTCTGCTTGCAGGCCGGCAGGACAGAGGGGGTGCGCCTGCATTTTGAGTGCAATCAGCTGGAAACTCTTCACTAGATAAACCTGGTCTAGGGCGACGGACACCCCCCTTCCTAGGTGTGGGACATCGGGGAGTCTCAGCATTCCCGGCTCTAGAATAGAGTGGGGGGGGTGGGATCGAACCTGCGGTGAGAGGGTTATGTGAGCCCAGGCTCAGCAGCAGCAGCGCTGAGCACAGAGACCAAGACACAGTAGGTGCTGGGCCAGTGTCTGCCCTGGTTGTCGTGACTACGCATGTAACTTATTTAAATGGCTTTCTTAAGATGTAATTCACACACCATGAAATTTACTTAAAGTGTACGCCACAGATTTTAGCATCATCACAGGGTTGCGCAGCTATTGGTACAATCTAATCTAATGAGGACAGTTTTTGTCATCCCCAGAGAGAAACCGGGTACCCGTTAGCCGGGACTCCCCATTCTCATGCCCCAAGCTCTCCGCTGCCCAGCCCACTGGGCTGCCGTCTGTCCCTGTGGATTTATCTCTCTGATCGCGCCCCGTAAATGGGATCTCACAACGTGCCACCTTCGTGGCTCTCCCTGGCCAAGATGCTGAACTCGTCTTTGCTAGCAGTGCTCAGGTGCACGTTGTTTACTTGTCATTTCCAGTCACTATTGCTCATCAGATGCAGTGTGCTTTTGGGGTTAGGGCAAGGAACCTCCTGTGATCACACAAAGGGAGGCAGTGGAAAAATAAACAAACAATAAAACCCACAAAACAGAACCACACGCTTTTTCTGCCTGACAAACTGAGATCAGATTGTGGGTCGGCCTCGTTGAAGGTCGGTGACCTTGAGCGAGCTATGTCCACGCCCCCTCTGAGCCTCAGTTTGTTCTGTTAAATGAGAGTAGTGCATCCCTCGTAGGGTCATAGGATTAAAGAAGGTGTCCCTGGGACACGACACACAGCCAATGAATGACTCATTAATATCCATAAATATTTATGGGATCCTCAGCTGTCCAGATGGGACCATGTTGTGTGCTGAAACATGTTATTAATATTATATGACTAACATGTACACACACATCATATATTAGGGAACAATTGGAAAATACAGAGGAATCAAAAGCAAAACAGTCTTTAATCCCAGTATCGAGACCTAAGAGCTCTTAATGCTATCATAGTAAAAAAATTTTAAAAAGTATAAATTATAAAAAAAAAATCCCAGTATCAAGCTGCTAGATAATTGCTATGATTATTTATTTCAGGGGAAGTAATTCTAGGATTTTTTGTTACTTATATACATTTGTGTATATTTACGTATTTTCCCTAGCATGGGTTCATGCTGTTTTTGTAGCGAGCTATTTTTGGACAACATTGTACATGGAATGCATTTCCACGTCAAATTCGCAACTGTCACTTTTAACGGCAGTATGTTTTTTTTTTAACTTGGCTAAACATACCATAAAGTATTTGGCCAATCTGCTTTTGATAGTCACTTAGGCAGAGTCTGATTTTAAGCTATTTTAAAGAATCCAAAGTGAACACATTTATGTATTCATCTTTTTGTACCTGTGGGTCTTTTTTTCTTAGGATAAATTTCTACCAAGTGGAATTAGATTTTTTTTTTTTGAGTGAGTTTTTTATTGTGATATAACACACATCTAGAAAAACGTGTCACTCACAAGCATATATACAGCTCCTTACAGTTTCTAAGACCACAGCTGTGTAACCTGTCTCCAGATCTAGAACATTCTCGGCACCCAGAGGCCCCCGTCATGCCCCATTCAAATCACTGTTCCCTTCCTAAGGGCATCCACTATCTTGACCTCGTAGGTGAGTTTTTCCTGTTTTTGTGTTTTGTGGAAATAGAATATTAAAGTATGTTTTCCTCCACATCTGGCCTCTTTTGCTCAATGTTGTAAGTGTTGTCCGTTTTCATTGCTGTATACTATTCTGTTGTTTGACTATACCACACTTTAGCATTTTATTTATTCTGCCATTGCTGAGCATGTGGGGAGTTTCCAGTTTAGGGTGATCTCAGATAGTCCCACCATGAACATCCTTGGATGCATGCTCGGGGGAGCAGGCATGCACTTTTTGGGGTGCATGCCTACGAGTGGAATTGTTGGGCCACGCAGTAAGCCAGTGTCCTTGCTCGCCTACCTGTGATATCAATGGCCCTGTTTTCCTCCACAAGGGTAGAAATTGCTCCCAAGTAGCTAACTAACCTTTGAGTGTTGTTGTCTACATCTGTGATGTGGGGATACACCCCCCCCCATGGTGTGAGGCAGATGAGCTAAGCAGTGGCCACGTGCCCCGCGGCATGTGGCCAGCCCTGGGTCCGGGTTGGCAGGCCTAATTAGCTTCCAAGGATGCTTGAGAATTCTGAGCCGCCGATTCTTGAAGCAATCACAGCTTGAGCCTGAGGTCAAAACACAATGAGCAGGAAGTGCAGTGTCTAGTTGGCCCCAGAAAATAGCTGCCTGTGTAAGAAGAGGAGAAAAGTGCTTGCAGGGTGGGAGAATGCCGGGATCCTTGCGGCGGGAGGTGACAGCTGCCCACCCAGCGCGGCCCTGCTTTGGAAAGGTTTGCCTCAACTGGATACAGTTCCAGGAACCAGGCCCGTAGACCTTGACCGCCAAGGTGCTCTGGGCAGATAGGTGGGAAGGGCTGGCTTTGGAGTTGGACCCACTGGGAACCGCGCCCCAGCTCTGCCTCCGACGGCCCGGGTGATCCGAAGGGCTCTCTGAGCTGCAGCTTGCAAATTATAAAGCTGACATAGCCGTACCCACCACTTACCGGCTTGTCTTGAGGATGGAATGAGAAATGCGTGCAGGTGTCGCATGTGCTGCGATTCATCAGATGAGCACTTGGGTGTGGGTGGAACCCTGATAAAGCCCGGAACCCAGAGGGTCCGGTCTCAGAGGCGGCTCTGTCGCAGAAACATGGCCCGAGAGTGAACATAATAGTAATAAAACTTCCGTACTTAGGTGCTCCAAACCTGTCAGGGGAATCCAAAGATGCTACCCACAGCAACAATGATCAAAACTCCATCTCTTCACTCTACAAGATTCTTCGTATCTTTCTCCCTACAGGTCCCCCCGAATCACTTCCAACAGCAGCCTGAGGCCCCCTCTCCCCTTTCCCACTTGTCTCTCAGTCTGTGACTATACGAAGCCCTTTTCTCAGCTAGGAAAAGCCCACTGCAGGGGTGGGAGGTGGGAGGGGGAGGAAGTCAGGTGGGTGACACGGGTTGCTCACCAGTGGGTCCGGGAAGGACAAAGGCTGGTTCGGGACTGCCCTGTCCCAGGAGCTGTCATTAGTAACAGCAGTTTGCTGATGATTAAGGGAGTCGGAACCCATAGCCCCAGAGCTGCGTAACTGCTAAGAATGGGAAATCCTTTTTTTTTTTTTTTTCCCTGCTTCATCCAGTGTTTGATTTTTGCCACGGTGGGAGATGCTGTGTGAGTAGGTGCAGCCGGGGGGGCTGGGGCAGACCCCCCTCGGATATCCCCGAGTTCAGTATTCACTGATGTTTTTCTCTCCCTCTTTTTTTTCTTTTTCTTTATTTTATTTTATTTATAGCAGTGTTATTCACAATAGCTCTCTCTCTCTCTTGTTGTCAGTCTCGTCGGATCAGATCGAGCAGCTTCACCGGAGGTTTAAGCAGCTGAGTGGAGACCAGCCCACCATTCGGTAAGATCCGCGGCCGGGCGTGGGTGCTGGGCGGGTCCGGGGCCCTTGGGGACACAGCGTGCTATTTATTTCTCTCCCCGAGTGCTGGGTGGCTCTGGAAGATCCCCTGTGTTGTCCCGTTTCCTGAAGCAGTTTCGGTGCTTCTGGTCTGAGTCAAAAAGTCCCCAAACAGGAGGGACAGAGCCACTTCTGTTTCTTTTGAGATCAGAAAATTCTAAGTTATAACTAGAGTGGAGGCCAGGGCAGAGAGGAAGAACTATCCGGCCACCCCCAGCCCTGCCCTGACTTGCTCAGATGGAATGTGCTCCTGGACTCGAGCTTCGCAATCCCAGACACACGTCGAGGACCCGCTAAATGCCAGGATGGTGCCAACTGCTTGTCGCACAAAGAGGGGTCAGTCCTGGTGGCACAGCCCGACGCGGGGGCTCAGGTGTCATGATCAGACTCTGCTTCCTCAGCTTAGTTCCAGGAACGATGGGGGCGGCAGCGTCAAATTTCTGTCCAGGAAAGTTGGCGTTCTGCATAGTATTTTGGTCGTTAATGTTTCAGGCACCGTCTAGGTTACTTTTGTAGGAGGAGGAATGACTCGAGCGGGTGTCCTGTCTTAGATGGTGGTTGAGTTATCTAGAGCCAGGTTAGTGACAGGTCCTCGTCAGTGAGTTGATCCTTACAAAAGTGGTGAGGAAGCTTCAAGTTGAAACCACAGCGAGCAGACAGAAGCTTCCAGGGAACAGATTTCTACCGCAGATTCTCTAACAGATGTAGTTTCTTAAAATAAACATTCAAGGTCTCAGGGTTACAGTTGTTGGAACTTTAAAACAAACCTTTTAATAGTCCCGGAAAACTTCCTCCTCCTTCAGAGAGAGACTTAAATTTCTCCCAGGTTCCATGGAAACTGGAGTGTAAGAATCTGCTTTCTCTGGTCCGTCTAAACAAAGGCATATTGTTAATCCAGTGCATTGTGTTCTCAAGGCCTCCGTTTCAGCAAGCTCAGATGCAGATGGTCTCACGGTTCTTGTGGTCCCTGGGCTCAATTTAATTGTATGCAAGGCAGACTTAAAAAACACAATTAGGGTTTAGGCCTTTAATTGTACATTTCCTACCCCCTCCCCCAGCCCAGGGGAAAGTTGTCTGGCTTCTCATTGGCTCTGATGGGGTCATGTGCCCGAGTCTGAGCCAATCCCTGTGGCCAGGGGCAGGAAATGCAAATTGTCCCCCGAGCAGTGAGGGTGTGGGGCCCCAGGTCAGCTTCCCCCGGGGGCAGGGATGGAGGCTGGGTGGCTTCCCCAGGGCGCGCGGTGGAGGATGCAGCGCTATTGGAGGCCCCCCACTTTTGGGCTCTGATCTGTGAGCCCCCGGCTACTGCCTAGCGCCCCATCCTAGGTCCTGGGAAGAGTCCTGGAATAGCGCCCCCTACCAATCGCTTTCCGGCCGGAGTGTGTGCAAGTCACCTGGGAATCTTGCTGCAGCGCAGGTGTTGCTCCCACAGGTCCTGGGGGTGGGGGGGCTGAGACCACATTTCTTGCATTTCCAAGTGCTGGGGTCGCTCAGCACCGTGGACAGCACACAGTGGGTCTTCGCGGTTGCTTGGGCGGAGGCGCCCCCACCCCCCTGCAGGCACTGAGCATGGGCAGCCTCTCATGGCTGGTGGCTGATGATGTGGGGTTCCTTCTTCCCATGCTGGCCATGCCTTCCCACCCGAGCCGTCTTCCTCCCTCCTGCACCCCGGGACCACCATATGCACCGCTCTTGTCACAGCTGTCCGCGCACAAGCTCTGAGCAATGAAGTCTGCCTGGCAGGGTGGTTCGGAGGATCCAGGGAGTGGCCTCTGCTCAAGAGCCCTCAGTAGCTCCCAAGTACCATCCGGGTCTCTTTATGTGGGACCCACAAAGGTCTGCAGACGCTGGCCTCTGCTTTGCCGAGGACAACCTCCTCCAAGACACTTCTCCTGCCCCGGAGCCCACACGGCGGCCTCCTGGTGTGCCCCTTCCAGCACTCCCAGCACAGAATTGCAGCCCCCCTCCCCCGCCCCTCCCCCAGCAGACTCTGGCTTCTTGGGGGGCAGGACCTGATCCGTCTTCCTCCTTGGCCCGACTGCTGGGTCCAGGGCTTGCAACACAGTAGGTGCTCTGGGAGCAGTCGGATGAATGAGTGAATGAGGGAATGAATGAACCAATGAAGCAATGAGAGAGCAAAGGAATGAGGAACGAGTGTGACGACTAGACTACGGGTCTTTCTGACCTGCAGAGCGTGGCACACAGGAGACCTGTTGTGACGAACGGTACTTCCCGCCAGGTTTCCGTGCTCCGGGGAGAAGAATCTAGCCGGGGACCTGGCGCGTAGCAACTGTTGCCAAACGCGTGCTAGTGTCGCTGAGCCTGTTTTACGTGCTGCGCAGCAGAAGCACGTTGTTTCAGTCTCACAAAACCCCAAAGGGAGTCGTGGTGGGAGCACCCGCTCTCCCCATTTTACAGATGGGGAAGTCGGGGCACCTGGCCACGCAGCTCCTGGAGAGCCTGCGGTCAGGAAGCCGGGGGCGCTGCCTTGGCTCGCAAGTGATCTCCGAGGACCCAGGACCTCAGTCTCCCTGCTTTGTCGTTGGAGGGTGAGGGAGGCGTGTTTGTAATTCCCATCACCGCTGCCCTGGCCCCAGAGCTTTGGAGCAGCCCGAGCATCATCGCATCTTATGCAAACAGGCCTCCGTGCAGGGCCTCCTCCCAGCCTCCGGAACTGCTTCGCCTAACCCTAATCCCCACTCCAGGCCTAGAGAAAGGGGCATCCGGCAGCTCTTTAAGGTTCCTATGGGATTTCCTGCCTGTCTGCCCCAGAGCGGGCGTGGTTTGGGATCTGGTCCCCAGGGCTGTCCCCTTTCTCTTGGGGTTATCTGAGGGACCCCAGGCCGTCCCTTCAACCTCTCCACCGCCAGGCACACCCCTGGGACGCTGTCCTGCAGGCCCGGGGCTTGCTGGGCTCTCTGAGCACGGAAAGGGGTTGCTCTCTCGTGGGGACGTTCCTCCCTGTGAGAAAGGCTTTGACTGGGGCTCCCCAGTGGAGGCCCCTCGCACCCTGGTCCAATCTGTCAGGGGCTGGGTCGGGGGGGTGTGCAGCTCCCTTGTCCCCTCCCTCGCAGACACCCAAGGTGCCCACGAACTTACTGGTGTCCCGCAAGAAGGCTTGTGAGTACCTTGAGTGCAGAAGGGCCCTTAAGAGTGATCACTGCAAACTGCAGGCTTTGTATAGAGGCGCATAGGATTAATAAATTGCATTCAAAAGCTTAAAGAAGAATTGGGTTTCTGAATTTGCAGCTCTAATAAACTAGATATAGCTTGAGCCCTCACCACGCAGATGTCCCTCCCTGTCCCCGGAAGCTCTCCTTCCAGTAGACGAGACCCTGCAGAGGTAAACCTGCTAAAAGCTCATCATTTCTGGAGAAAATACAGTCAGTGGCGTCTTGCATTTCTTTGCTCTCCCTAGTTGGGCCTCTGTGAAGTGGTGAGTGTCCTAAATGGCAGTTTTAAACTTCCTGCTGGCCTCCCGGCAGGCCCGCAGACACCCAGGAATAGATGTTATGGAGTCCTGCGGACACCGCGGTGCAGGTCATTCGGAGACTTGATTAGATAGAGCCACATTAGAAAGTATTTTTAGATCCATCAAGCCATCGGACGTGGAGCGATTCCTGGGATGGGCGCGACCACAGACAGGCCCGGGGAAGATGCAAGGGCGCCGCGGCCGGGGTTAGCGCCACCAAAGTGCGGAGCCGCGCCCCGATCGGCCAGACGTTGCGGCATCGGCAGGATGTCCCGAGCCTGGGTCATGTTTTCCTTGCCCTCGCTTCGTCCCCTTGGAAGTTAGCACGGGGGCGTGTGTGTGTGTGAACAGAAGCCCCGGCCACCATCGGCTGAGTGCTGACAGGTTTCGGGCACCGGTCTCGATGCTCCCTTGCGTGGTCTCAGGAACCCCTAGAGGGTCGCACCCTTCATCCCCATTTTACAGGTTAAGAAACTGAGGCTGAAAGAGCAGTTCAGATCTCACAAGTAGGGCCGGGGTTCAAAAGCAAAGCTGGCTGTCACAAGAGCCGTAGCCCCCAGACTGCTGCGACGACGACGTTCGTCCCCCCCAGAGTGAAGTCCCCTTTTGACCCAGCCACTTTTGCTTTTCACCTGTTGGAAACGTGAAGACGTTTGTCGGAAGCCCTGTGCTGGCAACGGGAAGTCGCCGAGGCCCTGCCCGGCTCCTCGGGCCTGACGCTGTCGTCCGCGCCTGCCCGGTCCCCAGAGTTAGCCGGTCCTCACCGTCACGCTTGGGCTGAGAGGGTGCCCGTTCATTCAAAAGGGAAAATCCGCAGCGGCCTATAGGGCTGCCCAGAAGGGACGGTCGCTCGAGGCAGCCGGGGCTTTCCTGTCTGTCCAGGGCAGGGTGCGGGGGCAGATGAGAGGAAGAGGCCCCCGAGGAGTGTGTGTGGTGTGACAGCGGGTCCCCGAGGTGTCCCCAAAGCGGGAAGCAGCTTTCCGAGTGGCCTTGTGCGTACGGCGTGTTCACGAGGTCCTCTCCCCCGATAGGGTCCTTGATTACAAAGGGGCAGGTGTCCGGCCTGTCCTGCGGGCTGAGGACTCCGTGGTGAGAAGGTGACACTGTCCCTCCCTCCTGGGGCTTCCACCCTGGCCTTCGAGGGTGAGTCGCAGCCAGAGGGGGAAGGAGCAGCGAGCGAGTTCGTTCTCTGTCCCGAGAAATCTGAGAAGCGAAGGGGGTGACAGTGTGCCTCCTGGGACCCGAGGGGGGAGAAGGGCCGGGGACATGGGGGGGGGAGGCCTGGGGAAGCCGCGCTGAGGCAGAGGCCCAATGGCGAGAAGAGGGGAGGGGGCTCCGGCGGGGTCAGCCTGGCTGCTGAAGGTCAGAGGACAGCTGGCGAGTTGGGGACCCGCCGGCCTCCCTTTTGACAAACAGGACAGTCCTTGAGCCCAGACCTGGGACAGGCCGGGAGGCGTTTGATCCCAGTTTA